TATCCGTGGGATAAGGCGAGGTGTGCATTTTTAGGGTCGACCTTTTCTAACCCCACCCCTCCTTGTGGGAAGGCAGCATCGCTGTTATGCTGGTTGTCTGAAGGAAACACCTTACTGCTGTCACACCTCTGTACAGTCAGCAGTACAACTTCGCCTTCGGACCTTGGGTTTGTTGCTTTTAGTCTTACCGCTCATCAACCGACCTGTCTGACATGGTAGGACCTTGAGGAACAGTTGTTCCAGCCAGTATAACTCGGTTGCTTCATCACGATAGGCAAGCCCGACCACCACGTCAAGGTAGCAACAACAGTCGGGATCAGAAGAGTTACTATTGTGAATGATAATCAAGTACCTATATTGTTTATCTATATTTAAAGAGATAATTAGCACAAAAATATCTATCTGTCTATAAATAGTGTTATATGTTTCTAACTTAACAATTGTCTAAATATCAATGATTTCATAACAATTATTGCGCTGAATAAAAAATACCAAGTAATATATAGTGTAGATTAGTCCCATTTATCATAACATTTGCAATCTATAAACAAAATCAATGAAAATAGATTAAACGTACCCAGAATAACACAAAAAAGCTATTGACTAGTGGTATAAGGTATTTGTATATTTTCTGAGCTACAATAAACTACTAATTTTTAAATCAATGAGCCTGGGATTCAATAGCTATAATCCATTCACGATATTGAGTAACTATGTCCTAACACTATTAGTTAGTCAGTGGTAAACAAGATATTAAAAAATCCAACAATCTCAACAAACTCATCACACTTAGATTCATGTCCTCATTCATCGGTAATTTTGAGAGATAATTTCTGAATTTATAGTAAAAAGCGGTGAGAAAAACAGCTCAACTGTGTTGGGTGTGAGGAAACTGCGCACCAATGGAGTCGAAAGGTGGTTGTGTAATACCACTTAATCATTGAAGTTAGAAAAATAAACAATTGGGAATCATTACTGTGATCTAGAGAAAAAAAACCTCGTGCGAGGTTTGAAAATTATGGACCTGATTTTCAATTCGGTGTAGGATTTCAACTTTTGATGGCCTTCATACCAGTTTAAAACAGCTGTTCAGTGCCTCTTTATCTCAGTGGTTGTCAGTTCATAATGCAAACTAGATATAAAGTGATTGACTAGATTCAATACAAAGAATTTATCCAAAACAAACAGCTCACATGCTGTTTTTTATGACATGAATATTCGATCAAACAGTAGTCAGTGGTGTTGAAAATATGTAACTAGCATTGGAATCCAGGACTCTCAGATGTACGTACCTGAATCCCGTACATCAAATACATTCAGTATTAAAGTTGGTTATATAGAGGTAATCTGCTCAGAATACACATAAATCAACAAAGGCTGGTCAAAATCAAGTCATGAATATCAGCAACCAGATAATATAAAATCTTAGCAATATAGTCGTAAACACTTATATTATAGGGTATGATACGATGTCTTCATCAAGAATCAATCTAGGATAAATAAAAACATCTTTAGTAAATAGTAATACTGAATATTCCAAAGTACATCTATACGTAGCATTCAATACATCGATTTTCAAACCAACTGTATATTAATCTAATTAAAACTTGATGGAATAACTCCTCTGTATTAATTATCGAGAAAATAGTCGGATTATTGGCTTTCGTTCACTTCCAGAAATAAGAACGGTCCCAGTGAGTTCACCAAAAAGATGTATCAATGGCAAGGACACTAGAAAGTGTGAATCAGGTCTTATTAGTAAGGCGGTTGGATGTAGTTGACAGGCAATCTTGGAACTAGATTTTGTGCTCTTGGATAAAAATATAATCCCAAATTATAATACACTAATAATTAATAAGTAATTAAATTCAGTTAAATGAAGAAAGCTTTATCATACCGTTAGTTGTTTTGATTAAAAGCAGATGATCAATATGCATAGTCGTGTTTTATTAAATGATTAGTAACCGTAACTAAGAGAACATGTAAACTCAATACTTTATATGATATACTATATATATATATATATATATATATATATATATATATATATATAACAGGTAAATTCAAGTATAATAATGACCTCATTAGACATTGATGACCGATACACGTCCATGCCGCATTTTACGCAACTAGTAAAACGCTACAAGTGAGATGTATAAGCTAAAAATAAATCAGTTATTGGCTAACGATAAGAAATAAAATTACACTGAAATCCGAAAGTATTAGTCGCCCAAAATATTGGGTTATAATAATATGTATAATTACCACTCTTAAAACTGTTACTACGGCGCAATATATCAGATTAGATTTAGTAAACCATAAACGTTACCCGTTGTTAAGTTCTCTTACTGATTAACGGTAGAAATTTAAATTTTCTAGTAATAATATTGTATCAATATTTCAAAGTCAGATGAACACTATATAATGTACAGGATTTGGTCATATGATGACTTTTCTTAGTAGCACTTTTCTATACATTTTCCCGAGGCTTTATTGAGTATCGAGCCAACATGGTTGACAAAGTTTATAAAAAATTAATGAAATAGTCAAATCTCTACTACGAGTTAAAGTCACTGCACCATATTGAAGAGCAGTAAAATGAAATCATCAAGCTGAATATCAAAGTAGTTTGGGTGGTACTCAAAAAAGCTGAGACATGTATAATATTGATGAAAGAAACAATGAATTCGTGCATTACAATGTATAAGATAAATCGAGGATTCAAGATCTGAGAGGGGGAAAAAGAGTAAATTTATTTAAGCCCTGTGACCAATTCCGTTTTACTTCACCCAGCCTCTTCAACTATTGATCAAGATAATTATATTTACTTCAACCAGATAATATGCACCTATCTAGACGGCTCAACCCAAACAATCAATGACTTAATGGACTGATGTCAACTTTTAGCTTGGCCGAATTTACAAAGTTAGAAAAAACTAAGAGAAGTTTCTGAATTCATGTTGATATTGTTTGAGACTCCAACCCATCGTGGTTGGGAGACTTGCAAGATAAGTTCAGTACTCGGAGAGAGCTCAAGTACTTCATTCACTACAACTAGTTAACGAACTGACAGCTTAACCAAATCACTCACCGAGATGGGATTGGATAATAATAACAGTAGTTATTAAAACTAACATTATTATACTGAATTTCTTTTTCGGTTACAAATTAGACAAATTGACTAAGAGATATACAAGAATCAATAACATAGAAATTTGCACAAATGAGATATGAGTTTTCAATTATTACGCCTATCATCAGAACAACACAACGTAAAAAAGTAAAGGTCTGACAAAAATATAGGAAGAGACATTACGACACAAACAGAAATAAGCACAAGATCAGACGGCGGGAAAAACAATGAAGAAAGGTTAAATATCTAATTTCAAACAAAACCTGTTATTTTTAAATAATTTTGAGTGGAAAATTTCAGATATATATATTACAATGGCTTCTACAGCTCGCAACTACCATTTTCCAGAGAATAGACATGACAAGTTAAAAATCGATTTAATCACAATTAACTACTAGCTAACTCATCCTACTTTCCAAAAAGAGAGTCACTATTACTACATATTTGATAACCGCGATACAAGTATTTCATGCGATGTGTTTGGAAAATAATAAAGATGTATCTATAATCACTTAGACAAGTGGATTAGATTAGATTCAAATACAGTTCCACCTAAATTACGGTTTGGACAATAAGGTAGTGTATCGTAATTCGCCTTCAATCAAAGTATGAATCAATTGTTGAGTACGCAGGATCTGTATACTTGACTATTGATATATCGCAAAATCCTTCACAAATAAACCTATCATTTCAAGTCAGTGATATTTTTTACTCTAACATACAAGCATTATATATGGACAAAAAGTAACAAGTCAGTCAGCTACAACATAGGACCAGGCACATATATGAATCAGTTCAAGTTGCCACACCTCATTAGCAAAACAGGATAAACACCAATTCATACAAGTAGGATGAGTTTTACCACCAGTTATCTGTTTCTTCTCCAGAAAGTGCGTTCGACAGATATTGTAGTACTAGCCAGAGACTTGAATGCTCAGGTCGGGCGTCTAGGCACAGAAGAGAGTCGTTTAGGTGGCCGATGGGACTCGTTGGTCGCAGGTCAGATAACGGGGACCGTCTACTGCAACTGTGCACAGACCACAACATTAGTTTACGCAACAACACTGCACATATGTGAATGTCAGTGATTCAATCAAACGCAACGAAGAACCTGGCACATGTGTACATCGATTCAGGTTGCCAAACCCCGTTAGCACAGTGAGATCAAACTGTTAAAACGAATCCCAGAATGGTACATGTAGTAACAGTATAAATAGTAATAGGAAAGATAGGCCATTAAGATACAATTCAGGAGGAAAATTTAAATTAGTGAAGTAATTCGAAAATTATGAGAAATTTCAAACTTAGGGCATAAGAGGAAGCAAAGAGGGATCTTGAGTCCCTAGCTGCTGGTCACAGTATTTATGCGGACCCCAACCAGGCAGTCTGCATTTGCTTATATGGCCCAGTCCAACAGGGGAACCATTTGGATGCAAAATAAGTAGTTTGATGGTTAAGTTCTTGCCGTGAGAAGTCTGGAGGCCCTATAGGTTTGACCTCCAATATAAAATCATGTGGATGGGCACTGACTATAAGTTTCACTCTAAAACGAAACAACTATCCAGTGGTTTCTGCCTTTTTTTATCTGATTGCATAGTTAGTGTAAACCCGCAAAATAAACTATGAAAAATGAGTTACATAGAGGGTCAGTAAGTCAGCAAGTAACATACAGTACGATAAGAGACTCATAAATACAAACAATTATTTTGACATTAATTGGGAAAATTACAGAACAAAAGACTAAATGATAACAATAAGAATCAGTAAAAAACAACGATAAAATCTAATCAAAGTTTCTGCTAAATAAAACTAACTTAATGTCAAGGTAGTTAGTTCATGTAAACAAACAGTAACAATCAATACTTACCAGGATTGATTGAGTCCAATACAGAATTTGGTACTGGTCGTCCTAATGAACAGGATTCGCCACTGATTGAACCATCTGGATTTTCAAAAAGGCTAACTGAATCTCCAACACCGCCACTAGTTGTATGAGACAAGAGGTTATCAGTAGTACCCTAAAAAAATGAATGGATGCACACACATACATATATATGTAAAGGGTGTCAAATAATAAACTTACAAAATACATAATATAACAATAAAAACCGTACGTGAATATTGCTAAAGCTCTCCTTCAAATAATATGAAGTAAAAGAATGTGTTTGATATTAACAGTTACTAATAATGATTTGAATATCGTGCCCATTAAAAATAAGATATTGGCTATCTAAAATTACTAGTTCAATAGACAACGCATTGACATTTAAAGTAAAAGGTACTGGATCTATGTCCCAGAATAAACAGTAACACTGGGATGCAAATAAATCTAGCTGACGAATCCTTCAAATACGATTAAACGCGAAATCCTAATCTCATCGCTAAACGCAATTTATTTGTTCTAAATAATGTTTTCGATTGACGGGTTCATGTGAGCAACTTACCCAGTCTGGAAAAACAGATTACACCATTGGAACGCATCATCGAAAAAACTGTAAGAACAGTGCTCAGCGACTTATTTATTGAACATGCGGAAAACTATTTAAACTGATTTTAAATATGAAACTATAGTATTTCTTTAAAGTACAAAAAACCAATCAATCAAAATTAGGCTGTGATAATACAAATCGGAAATGTGAAAGTAAACAAGCCACACACATTGGTTATGCATTATTGTTTACATAATAAGCGAGTATAAGCAGTAAACATTAATTTCGATCTTAATTTCTAATGGTATTTTTCACATTTTGTCATCGTATCCGTAAGTAAATAATAAAGCAGTGTACAACATGGAACGCGTACGTAACATAAAAACAAAATGAACAAGATTAAATTTGAGCTAACATATGAACAAAGAAATTTTTAAATGGGAAAATACTGGATGCTCCACATTCTTTTCAATAATAACAACTCATTTACTCAATACGGAATTCTCAACGTAAAAGTGACCATGAAAAGGGACGGTTTCACGTTTTCTAGATTTCAACCCACACGGGCAAAACATTTAAAGCTCCAAGATTTTGGTCTTTTTTATGCAGTAATATGGCTTAGATGCTCGTAACAACACTAAGTAACTAATTCAGTTTATCATCATTACGAATCCCCGATTGGAAGTGGAGAGCAATGATGCGGGTCTTACTTGTTTTCAGGAGCGGCGTTGCCAGCCAACTCAAAAACTACTTTAACCACATATATCAGATAAACTAGATAGTCAAAACCGATGAGCTCAGTGCTTTTAACTTTGAGGAGGCCATAAGTAGATCAACTGAGAACCAGAGACCACCAAGGGCTGACCGAATCTCAGCTTTGGATCGAGATATTCCACCTTTATTATTGCGTATACTCATGATTGTCGAACCAAATGATAGAGTCAAGAAACGTAGACATCTCTAACAACCCGAACAGTAATGACTTTGGAAAAAAATAAATTTGAAAGGGGAATCAAACAAAAGTGGAAAGTGAGATTAGACAATCCTGAATTGTCCATACTCTGATCAAGCTAAAAATCGGGATACATTGATCGGCCCATTTTCAGCTATTAAGTGTTAGTGCACAGATCGAGAGACTAAAATATTCTTATACAAATTCATTGTTAACTCAAGTGTTTTTACCGAAATATCTTTGTGGTTTGTGTTATTCGAATATGTATATTGTTCGATATGGATTTTCGTTCTGATTTGGGAAAGAATCGAGTGAACTAACACGGTCAGGCAATGCTAACCAGTATAAGGATATAATAATTAATTACAGATGAAGTTGAAAGACAGTTGAAGTGATATTACTGATTGTCTAAGATGAAATACAAACCAGAAAACAGTGTTCACTAGACGTATACGCATTACTCATAATGACAACGTGAATTTTCATGGTTAAAACTGAACTATTACACACTCACGAAGAATGAAAACCTGTGGTAATCATATGTGACAAATGAAAGTCGCAGAGTATAAACAATAATTTCGAGAGTTATCAGCTTTAGTTCTTGCACCAAAGCTTTATTAACAGATACAACAGAATATTAAGTTAAACAATCTGCAAATTTAATACAACCGATTACTGTTTTTAAATAAAATACTGCTTACAGAATTTTGTGTTGGGTTTAAAACATCACAGTGCTGTTCAGATGCATGAATTGTAGATTGTGAATAATTACTACCACTGCCACCGCTAATACAGTTATTATTACTATTATTCCAGGATCCATTTGTCGATACAGATATTGAAGATTGTAAACTTAGCTCTGATGCATGACAAGATAAACCAGTACTGTTAGAATATTCTAATCCATTTCCGATAGTGGTAGAATTTGTTGAATGTTTCGTTGATCGTATTGTACACCGTGAATCGGATCGAGTACCACTACCAAAGGATGTGGAATATTTACGATCACATAAAACATTTGAAGTAACAAGACCAACTGCATAATCAATTGCTTCTTCTATATCACTAGGTATTTGATTTGGATCATATAAACTGTGTGTGATAGCTTGAATGGATTCTTCAAACAAACTGACGTCTCCAAATATGGCTAATTTTGAGTCCTTGAAGAAAATAGATTAAATTTTTAGATAAAATGGTGAAATTGATGAGTTAGCCAAGTGTATAGACACATCACATGACCGTGTTCACAAGCTATTTCAAACAGGTGGAAAATTACAAATAAACATACTGCTGGAGAAAGTTGATTATGCACTTACCCAAGGTTTCGGCCTAAATACTTATTTCTAGGTCGACAAGTTAACAGTATATATAAATTCATAGTATTTAATTCAATGGTAGTATAAAAAAAGATATCATATAAGGATATGATACAGGGAGAAGGAATTAGTTCGTATGAAGAAAGGTATAAAGTAATTCCAATCTCATAGTTTAAGGGAAGACAGAGAGTGTATACACCGACCCCACTGTGATCGGTTCTGAACCATGTCATCCAGAATCTCCAACCAATCATTACGATAGTTGCGCGGAACCCAACCAATAAAGCTGCATCTACCAACATGGTTCAGACCAGAGGTTAGTGACTTTATGGACTGGTGTCACGTTTTGGTTTGACCGCCACTAACTTTCTTCCATTCGTCTTCAACACCGGTCAGCATCGCGAGTCAGTGGCCATGTGTATTAAGTGACCCAACCATCTCAGTCGATGTAAGTTATTAACTACCTGTCCTTGCTTTGTGAACTGACGATAGAAAAGAGCTTTGAGGTTAGCATTACTTCAACTAAAATAGATGTAATCTCAGACGTCAAATCAACAAGAAGGTATAAGCTTGACTTTTAAATTTAAAGAGTCATCGGTTAACCTCCAACTGTTTTAGTAACAAAACTAGACTAAACATCTAATTTTTTTCCTTCCATTTTTGTGCTCTTCGACAACATGTAATCACAATCTAGGGAGGTTAACTCGAAAGTTTCTTTTTTCTCTGCTTATATTTCATTATTAAATTTATTTCTACATCACAAATTAATGATTGGTTAAAATGTGTTAAACTAATCTGATTGACACATGTTTACGAATGATTGGGTCAGTCAACCATTTTGGATTAGCTCCGGTGGTCACGGCTTCGCACTAGAACTCCGAGAATTCCCGCGAGCGGGATCGTGGATGCGCACTGCTGGGGAGTCCCACAATAGAACGAAACGGCCGTCCCGTGCTTCCAGGTTTCCAAAAGTGGTCTACCATCAATCGGTTCATGATCTCAATCAAGAAACATATTTTCATCGGCCTGAATTACCATATTACTTTAGTTTGATGAGATTAAATTCATAGGACTAAAACAAGTGAATTAAAATGATGTAATTGTAATGATAATGAGAAACACTAGGTACTGAAATTATGATTTGAAAGAAAAAAAACAATGAAAAAGTATGAGTCCTGGATCTAGAGTAAGATGAAGCGTAAATTTACCACTAATGATAAGGGTAGTCACGTGCTTACTAACCAGGTAATTTGGATTTATCAACATGGATCAGACCAATTATCAATAACTACATGTATTGATCGGCTCTAGCTTTTTTTCCAACTTACTCCGATACCATCTAGGATTTTTCAATGACGGTAGGTGATGATTAGGCATATATAACACACGTCTTAACCAATTTTCTATCTTTTCCTATTAACCTACGATTCACCTCAATAGTGGTTACATTACCTCGACTCACTTCTGCTCATCTCATCGATGAGTGATTAACTAATGCGAAAATTAGCTATGCACAATGGAAGAAACAAATTACTTAATACAATAACGATTAAAAGATAATTTAAAATTAAAGAAATGAAGAATGACACTTACACAAAGTGTAAACATAATTTTACCGACTGAGAGTAAATAACATCGATTGATTCTTCGAATATAAAAACTCTAATATATACACAAGAGAGTAAATGGAATCACACTAACTAAACACAAATCCTATTGTAACCAGTAGTGGTGTACTACAGTTAAAATATCAAGAATTAATAAATACAGAATATAATAGGATATTAGTTTAAACTTTATAATTACTAAAAAGAACAATGAATATAGCAATAAAACAACACTGAATAAAACAATAATGGTAATAGTACTAGTAATACTACTACTAATAATATAATACGTATAAAGTACAATGTAAGACAGAATACAAGTAAAGAATTATTATACAAAAAACATGCATATGGGATGTAGGTCACGTTTAAAAATATGACAAATAACATACGAAAAAAACACTGATCTAGATTATTCATTCATAGATGATGAATAAATGATCATTGATAGGTCTGTTACGTGAACGTTTGTTCTTGACTTTCTAGTCGCTTCTTATAATTCGAACAATAGGAGAAAGGCGCTAAATATGAGTAAGAGCTTTTATCACAAGACGAGCTATGTACAGAAAAGAGTATCCTAATACATTTTTGTGTGACCTGGGTCTTACATAAATTTCTGAAGATATACTAAATATAGTAACGATATAGATAATTATCCAATTGGAACGCAATACAATCCTCCATCTTTCTCGATGTTTCTGAAAAGCTTCAGTTCACAACGCATATTGGACAAAACCTTTCTAGGAGTTTTTTGAGCCTTTAGAGACTTTGACGACGGATATTTTTGGAAAGCCCCACAAACGTCCAGTAAGTACGAATTTTATTTGTATTAAGCGAATCTCAGTCTAAGGATTATTAAGACGCGCATTAGTCACTTACACTATGACGATTTTGAAAATATAGAGTGTCAACGCATGACATGATGGATAGTAATGGGCTTTGACTGGGTTCTTTAATGATTACTAAAAGGATTGAAGGAATGCTTATTGATTGATAGTACGCAATACAATTTGGCCGTGTGATTGCTGTTCACGATACAAAATAATGACAAACCATCCATTTGAACTGATAGTATGCATGTGTACAAAATCTCAACATAAAATAAACATGATTAGAAGACGATTAAGTGATTGGAAGTGAAATTTCGGCTGGGGATAAAATCCACGTTATCAAGTCATTAAAGTGCATCTTAATCAACAATTACGGTTATGTTTACATTTATTTAGTCACTCAATTGTAGATAATTTGAAATAATTTCTATTGGAAGTATGACTTTTGCTATGTTGTAATTTTTATTCCTTATGATTGAGTGCGCTACACTTCACACATCCGTAGCACAATATTTTCGTCTTAGAAAACTTCACATTTTCCATGTAAGCAAGCAAAAACGACAGAGAAATAAATACGCCCTCCATCATGGACTACAATAATATAAATAATAATTCCTTCTTCATTTTGGTAGGTTTCCAGATGCAAGGTCAAAATTGCAAGAGTGGAGTTTGTCATTACCCAAGCATAGCTGTTAAGCTCAATTCTTATCCATCATATACGAAACCTAGTGGTTTGAAACGTTATCAAATACTGCTCATAGAATAGAAGAGAACATTGATTCCACTGCTTTTCTATAGTATACTATTTACACATAGTCGACCTTGATTACTTTAGTACTCGATATGTATGCAACACTATGTATTGCTTTTAGTTTTATTTCATTACTTTTTAATCTCTTATTTCTTTGAAGCACTGTCCACTTTTATGTTCTGCTCAATCTTACCAGACATTTTATCACAATATTTTTCAAGAATCTAAGTGAAAGGAAAACAATTCCATACAAAGTCAAACAATTCATCTAAGCTGACGTGATGTGAACCAATGGATGAACGTGTCAGGTTCTACATTGTGCATAATTGACCGACTGATTGATTGATTAACTTTAAACATGTATAAAAGCTAAAGATTTCTTAGTTCATTGAGATATTGAAGTAAATGTAAAATACCCCCTTGGTTATTTGTACAATAAAAGTTGGTAAAACAAGCAAACAAACATACAAACATATGCAAACACAAAATTATTTGAAGATAAAACGATGGACTAAAAGAGAAACAGTTGGTGAAATACATTAAATAATTTGTCGTATTGAATATCAGTTAATCCATGAAAGGTAACGAGGCGAATTGAAATACAACCATCAAAATGATAGAATATGTCAGTTAAATATGTTAACAATAAACATGCAATACGATATATATATATATATATATATATATATATATATATATATATATATATATATATATATATATATAAACGGTATAAATGAAATTAACTGGATCTGACTTTTGGATAAACATTTCAAGTATTTATAATATGGTGCAAAGTTTTCCATCTAATATAAACAATATTTTGTTGTATTATAAGAAATACTGATTTGTGTTCGATAAATGTCTGGACAGTAAACTTTTAAATACAACACACCTTGATTAGCTTTATTTTAGGACGAGAAGGAAAAAAAATTAGTCAAGTTTAATTAATTTGTATAATCCCGGATCAATTCTATGGAAATATATGAACTAGTGTTAGATGATGATTGAATGTAGTTGATAAGATACTCTAAACATACATTATATACAAGTTGGAGTTTATCAACAAGGTAATTTCAAGGAAACGGATGCTCTCTGAATGATTCGAAGTCGGATCACTCGACATTACAACATCGAAATATAGTGCACACAATATTGAACTACACAGACTAGTTGGCAAATAATTAGATCGATAAAATTTGGTCGGCATCAAGGACAAAACAAATATGATATTTACCACTACTCATTGACTATTTAGTGTAAGTGCATAAATTAACTGATTGATAGTGTTAATATACAGGTACGATGACAGATTTGGTTGAAATACTTAGTAACAATCAACGTAGAGTTTGGCACACATGTGTGTTACAACACCAAATATCAGCTAGACAAGATAAAATTGACAAAATGGATGACAGAATTCGAAACAATTCAGTAGTAATGATTAATAAAATGACTAAAGTACTTGGTTCAATCGGTGTGAATAGAAGCTTTCTAGAGTTGTAGAAAACGAAAGTGTGTCATATCCTGAATGGATAATTCCTGATAATATGACCAATTTGACCATGTTCCCAGAAGCTTTCACGATGTCAAAGTCATACACAAACCTACAAACAAACCTGTATTTAGTATCTAAACTAACCCTGGAAATAAATCTTTCTTTCTACAAACTCCCGGTTTCCTGCCCAGGGTTCAAATACAAGAGATTACCAGCAATTAGAAAGTGCTGAGAAAGTCAGTTTCAAGATTTGGTGGAATGTGAATAGAAGCATTTAATTTTGTACAGAAGATACACCTTAAAGTCTAAGGCAAAGTACAAATTTTCACACTAAGATAGGTTACTCAACTGTACAAACCTAAATAAGCCCTCTTAACAGAGTCAATATACATATATGTACTATATCTCATAATCAAAATCAAAACACAGTAACCATTGCACTAACTTTAAATGCACATGAACCTAATGGTAAATTGGAGAATGGATAGGACTAGAATCCAAGAATTGCATTTTGTCGTGTTTAGGACACATCACCTAGATGTAACTAAATCCCAGTGTTCGTGTGCACATTGTGACCATTTGCCTCAAAAATAAGGACGTTATCCACTTAGTCTACATAACCAAAGAACATGATGATTATATTATTATTACTAGGTAGTTGTTGACATTCAGGACTGAATTTTGATCAGATCCTGTTGATATATATGCATCCTGAACAGATCTCCACGACATAACTACTTGAACTTAGCAACTCACTGATTAACGCCTTGAGGCTTGAAGCAAAAGGTACTAGGTTTGAGTTTTGCTTTAAAAATCAACACTTGGATGCATGTACATCCAGGTGAAAAGTCTTAAAACAGGACGAAACACATATCCTGAATTCCATTGCCAGTCAATGTGACTTTTAAAAGAAAATGTTTGATTTAGCTGAGAATATAGAGACAATCCAATCACAATAAACATATCCTGAAAGAGACTAATCAATTGCAGTTCAGTACGGTAAACAGAATATACAAACCCATATAAACATATACCAAATTTAATTTCATAAATATTCCTCGGGTTTTTTTTCACCAACAATGAAAAACCATCCATTCAAGACCAAACTAGTTAGTTAAGAATTTATACGAAAAAAGATTAACAAAAGATTTTTTACAGACAGATGGATATATTATGCATATTTACGAGTAGGAATTACAGATTTTATACAATAACAACCGGAAAAATACACACTATTTCGCTATAACTACATGCATACATACACACTGTCTGAAAACGACAAGCATACGTTTCGTTCACACTCTCTCTCTCTCGCACACACACACACACACACACACGTATATACCCAAAAAAGGAAAGAAGATAAGAAATAAGAAAACAGAAATGTCTATGTTTTTTTCGTAGAAAAAGTCAAGATGCTACTTTAATTTGTTTGTATTCCAACCAGCTTTGTATAAACGTACATGGTGAAAATATATACGCATATATATATATATGCATTAATGGTTAATGAAATGTATATCTAGGTTAAAATGTTTTCGATTTTTCCCTACCATAGTTTAACTTATTCAATACATGAATCATAGTTGAAAACCAATTAGAAACAATTGAAACCAGATAATGATTTTGGTTTAATGTGAAATGTTGAAATTTCAAAGTTCAGTAATAAAATAAACTGTTTTCTTTTATCTTTCCACATATTAGTTTTTATAGGAAAAAAAGGAGTTAATTAAATTCAATAGTTGAAATCATGAGTCCATTGAAGCTAGACCACCATGGGAAACCTGGAAACACTGGACGGCCGTTTCGTCCTAGTATGGGACTCGTCAGCAGTGTGCATCCATGACCCCCCCCACGAGATTCGAACACAGGACCTATCAGTCTCACGCGCGAGCGCTTAACCATTAGACAAGTGAGACGGCATCCAATGGTGTTAATGTATAACTTCAACCAATCCACAAAATTGCGCTACCGTGCACCATTGTTTTCAGTGAGCTGATATCTCATAACAGACCTGGTTGAACTCTACTGGTCACGGCTTCTCACTAGTGTTCTTAGGTTTTACATGGTGGTCTAGTTACAATTGACTCATAATTTTAAACATTGAAATTACTTAAATCTCCACAAAACCCCTTCTGAGTTAACTAACTGTCTATGAAAATAGAACCTTCGATAAAATTTCAATAAACACCAAAAGAAAAACAAAACGAGTCTACATGATTTCATCCATTACAAATCGATAAGTTCTTTGAGTATTAAATTTGTGTATATTACCCAATTCAATCACAAATGAGGTCTTTTTTTTAAATATAGAGTTACAAAAATATATGACCAAATTAATCAGACAAACGAATTTAATCGATTCAGTCAGTCAGTCAGTCAATAACAACGTAGAACTTCGTACATCAGTTCAAGTTGCCATACCACATTAGCACAGAGATGCAGTTTTCGATTCAAATCCCGTAGTGGTAGAGGTAGTAAAAGTATAAGCAGTAATCGGAAACATTAGGGTTTGAAGATGTTATTCAAGGAGTACAATCCAGTGAAATAAATTTGGAAAGCGAAAAAAGTGACACGAAGAATTCAGAAGATTAGAATTCGGTAGAACACAAGGAGTGGATGCACCTGCCCACACCACTGCAAACGATTTTGACCCATGTCACTCAAGATCTCTAACCATCGGTTGCTATCATCTCGCGGTCCCCAACCAGGTAGTCTACACCTACCAACGTGGCTCAGTCCACTTGTCAGTGACTTCATGGATTTGTGTCATGTTTTGGTCTGGCCGCCACTAGCTTTCTTCCAACCTACTCTTACACCAGAAAACATCGCTCGTCGGAGCAGTCGGTGGTTGGGCATAAGTAAAACGTGTCCAGCCATCTCAACTGATGAAGTCTCATCACTTCATCAATTGATTTGCCATCCTTACGAAGTACCCGTTCCCTAACAACTGCATTACTTACTCGGTGGTCCCATGATAGATGGATTGCTCGTATATCCTGGGACCACTGAGTAAGTAATGCAGTTATACACAACTTAGTATCTTATAGGTATTTGTATCAATCCAAGATGATATATCATATTTACAAAGACAAATGGAATGATTTGGACAAGTTCAAGAGTATTAGAAGTAGCAATAGTATAAAAGTTAATGGAAAGAACTAGGTATAGACAGTATGACCCAAGAAGAAAAAATAAGTTCATGTAATAATTATAATAGTCATTCTCAATGAAAATTATCTTGGGTAATAGCAACGTAGAACCTGGCACACATGTGCATCGATTCAAGTTGATACATTATATCACATTTCAATAAGATGGAATTATTAAAACAGACATCATAGTAGTAGAAATAGTAATAATATCAATGGTATTACAAAAGATTAGGTCTACAAAATATGATATGGCAAGATCAGTCAATACATATCTGTGCCAGAATTCTATATCGATGATGACTGAGTAAAATGATTTGCAAAATAATGCATTTGTGTAAGAAAATTATACGATAATTTTAGCACTCATGATCTAAGAGAAGATAGTCTTGATGGAGTTTTGTTCTCTGAGCTGGATGGTTCGGTCTTGGAGCTTTCATCATTCTCTGAAAGACATGACCAGCACAAACTTCAGATACAGTCTTTCCATCAGCGTTACTGCAACCAATTCTGAGTTATACCATCTAACGTTCCCAAATACTGGTTGAGATAATCAAGTGATCTCCAGTTACATAGTCTGTATGTACCAATATGACTCAAATCAACAGCAAACTTTGGAATAGATGAGCTGAGCTAACGAATTAAAATTAGCAGTCTTTTTGAACCCCAAATTTATGAGGAAATCGACTGTTTCAATGGCGGAACACTAATAGAAGAAAACAACTTTTAAAGCTATTCTCCGATAAAATCCTATATACTGACGAAAGTTCCTTAAGATAACGACAAAACCACTGATGTTCAAGGCATTAAACTGAGACAGACATGATAAATGAATAAACAGTGGTAAGCTAATTCACCCGGTATTGAAGTATGGGCCACACTCTAATCGTGACGGTTAACGAATACTATTTAGTTACCTAAACTGAAGTGGGTAGAGCGGGGTTCGAGCATAATATTAGTGGCTGAAAGTTGAATGATAGAACCAATAAGCTACCACTCTATATATCCTTTATTAGCTGAATAGTCAAAACATTTAATTTTTAACAAATACATAACAGGTTAGAATCCGTCACAACTGCTACGTTAATAATAATATAGTATCCCAGCCGACGTACAAAACGTACTCCTGAGGACTTAACACAGGAACCTGAATTGAGTGCAACAAAGTTACAGTAAATTTTTACTACTTTTCCATTAAGTACATCTGTTTTAAAAACAATTACTATATTGCTTACATCAATCACATAGTCAAATGACTTCAAATAAGAAAAAGACAAGTTCTGTAACATTTTAATAAAATGATGTAACTCACCAAAACCGGTTTTAAACAGGTAAGCAATTCAGCAAATCGTCTACGTTCTTCAACAACTGCTCTTCGTAAACTAACACGTTCCAATTCTGCTAAAGTTTGCTGTTTCAAAATTAGATCATGTTGAACAAAATTTAAGTGCATATTATCACCAGAATGAAGAACAGTATTGTTATTTGAATCTATAGACTGCATCGTGGAAAATGCGTAAATTTCATTATGCGAACTGGAATCCACACTCCCATTAATACCACCAACAGTACAACTGGATGCTGAGCTTCCCTATATAAGTAAAAACACATGAAATGAGATAATTGAATCAATATGTTAGATTACTGCATGCTGAATTATTACATAGAACTTTACCAGGTATAGATTATTTTCCTTAGCTTTAAGCCATACACTAAGTGTAAGAGCTAGTGATACCAGGCACTTTCTCAAGCCGAAATATACGGAACAAGATACGAATTAGAGACTAAAAATAAAATGTCTTAGACACTAATACACCGCTCCTCTAGATGCATAGAAACGAATATGAAATGTATTCTACCAAAATTGAAGCAATATTATCAGATCTACTTTCTTTTAAGAGGAATCTATATGAATATGGATTAGGGACTCAAGGAAGTACTATTTATTCCCATCCACCCTCGCCAGAAACATAGTAATGGATACTGGCAAGACTTTTTTCTCTATCATCATTTTATGCTATGCTTTCATTCCTACTACTAACCACGTTCACTATCTCTTCAACTTCTTTCGTTTAGCAACCAAGGTAAGTTTACACAATACATTCCAAACCATATTCTTCTGCCCAAACTGATGCCAATTTAGATATTACAGATTATACGCTGTCACCACTGTTATCATCCATATTCTGAAAAGGTAAACACATAATCTAAACTATAACATAATCACAGATGACCTTAGTGAGCTAACAAAGATGAAAAATGTGGCAAACATTATATAATCACATATCGCAGTTTAGTGGTTAAAGTACTCGGTCTCTAACCAATAGGTTTTAAGATCAAAATTTATTTCATCTACTAGGATTTTGGTAAGCGGATAATATCACAAGCCTTGAAGTAAACAATGTGATTCAGAGCAGATTATATAAAACCCGTAATTGGTAAATAGGTTAGGTTTGTATTAAGTTAGTGGACTTAGGAAGTCACTAGTAAGGCAAATATGTGATTAAATTATATTTTGGAATCATAGATGAAATAGCAATATTATAAGTGGAAAAATTGAGTGAACACATTTAGAGCGTACCCCTACTTATACATACATAAATAAAGATTAGCAATCAAACGACAATGTCATCACTTGAATCAACGCAAACAGACAACTGCGTACATGAATTCGACAAGGGGAATGTCATAAGTGTGGATCGAAAAAGGTTTAAGAATCCCTGACTGCTTTGTCAGAGTTCGCATGATAACTGTGGTCAGTGATTAGCGGCCTTGGGTGAAACGGCTCGAAACAAGCTGCAGTAATCCAGATATATTCACTTTAGTTTTCCCTAGATGTTAAGATTCTACATTCTAATATGACTGAATGATCAATCTCAAGAAATGGACAGAATAAAATTTTAGACAGTCTGCAATCAACAAAAATACTAACACAGATTCGATCTATCAACTGATGGGGAAAAGGTCAGAGGTTAACAAAACAGAATCTTTGAAGGCAAACAATGTTATCAAAACGAACCAATTTGCCGATTATTGGAATAACTCGAAATAGTTCACTTCCGACTGAAACAATAATAATGTTGTCAATATGAACAACGAAAGCTTCGTAACTAGATCAGACAGCTATGAGGCAACAGATCACATAAAATAATAAGATAATACAAATAGTCACTGAGAACATGCAAGTTTATTTATCCTGACGGTCATGAAGTAAATAATAGAAGTTACCCAAATATGACACGAGATCCAAAACTCCAGATATAAGTGCTTAAATAGTACTCTTACAAATATAATTTATGTTAATAGAAATAAACTGTGGACGAAGCCCTCATCGATGACCTAATAGATAACAACGTGAAACTTATGTAATAAATGAAATAAAACATGAATGTTGAACGTGATTTATCACATATCTCTCACATCTTATACACACCTGCAAACATAGTTTAACAGTTAAACAGTATAATATATTTTTGACGTCCCTCTACCCACTAGTGATTCTTTTATACCACCAACTTGGATACAAGCTGAAAATCTGACGAGTCATACCCAAGGTCATGTCCATCAAATATGACAGAGATTTTTACAGTATTGTTAACGTGTTACTACATATTTTATGGTCGCAGTTTTCGTTAGTAACAATCTACAAAAGCCATTGGTTAAAACCCATTATTTCATTATGAAAACACATGGAAGTTGTTGGAATTTTATCTTTACATTAATAAGAGTTTGTAATTCGCCATCACTGAAATTTTCGCTTCTATATACCCGTTGAATAAGTTAGAAGATAACTGGACTTAGTTGCACAATGGATACTAAGTTGGTGTTTGAACCAAAATGTAATAGGTTGAAGTCTCAATATGAACATCAACACACCGGAAAACAGGTGCATCCAACAGACGAGTAACAAATAAGATGAAACGATCAGCCTAAATGCCACAACTAGCATTAGTAGGTAAAGTAGAATTTGAACCTGTGACCTACTTAGTTGAAATATCAAGTAGTTTATATACTAAGTCATCATCACTCTTCAAAACTTACAATAGAAAACTACTGTTTATCAAAAGCAAAGTTAATTTAATGACAACAAAACTTTTGTTTAAATAGAATAAGTAGATCACTTATTTACTTTATTAATACAAGGAACTGGATTATTTAAAATTAAGAACAATTTTAAAATAATTTTACCCTACTAAATAATATAATTATACACAACTACACATGCACATAACGTTTTTACATTATGAGTCCATTCACAACTGTTACACTTAAAATAGATACACAGAAAAACTGATTATTACCTACAACGAATAAATAATTATTTTTAGGAAATGAAAATAAACAAAATTGATTGATGCAGAGTAAAGTAAACAAAAACAGCAAACGGCAACAATACATCACCACATGATCAAAATTGGATGATTGTTTTCCTTCATCATGAAGAACAGGAAAAAACGAAATAGAGGAAAAAAAGAGGAAACAATCACCCAACCAGTTAGAAACTTTTTTCAAGATAGTCGTACTTATTCAAAAGGTAAACACGAAAACAAGAAATGAAAATCATCTGACTGTAGCTGTATATCGTGATGATTCAATTGAGAAGTATTAGCTATAAATGTTTATTTGGGTTTAACCGTTTAAAATAGATCGATTGAAGAGATGTAAAACTTAATGTCTGAGGGAGAATTCGTACCGATGATTGTTCGGTGGGTGCGATGGTAGTAAGTTGCTTCCCTCAGACTACGAACAAAGAAACAGATATGAAACTCCACACTAAGTAATATCAAGAGTTAGCCCAATAAATTGGATACTGTTGAGTTTTAGCTGAGTTCATGATCCGAATAATGTTAAACCACCATTGAAAACCTAGAAGGACTGGATGGCCGTTTCGTCCTAGAATGATAATTTTCAGAGTTCTAATGAGAAGCTGTGACCAGTGGAATTCAACTGTGTCAGGTGTGGCGCAGTTACTGACCGAAGACGATGGAGGATGGTTACGCAAAAAGGTGGATTGTTTGAAGTTAGACATTAACACCGCTGGATGCCGGCTCAGTGCTGTAGCTCGAGACTGAAAGTCCTAGGTTTGAGTCCCACATACGGGATTGTGGATGTGCACTGCCGAGGACTCCCATGCTAAGATGAAACGGCCGTCTAGTACTTCCAGGTTTTCAATGCTAGTCTAACATTGATCGGTTCGTGAACTCATTTAAAACTTTTCGGATTGACATTTTGTTCGAATAATCCCAACATACCAGATTAAATTTTAATTTTTATTCCCACTATACAGTACGTGAAATAAGTACATAAAAGAGTACAAAGAATGCACACATACAGATGTACATGCGTATATAGATCAAACTACTTTGTGTTTTACGGAGATTGATTCATCATACAAGCAAACAGAATTTAAACTTAACATCTTTCTAAAACAGTTGTAAAGGTGGAAGGGGAATGTGTGTAATTTATTGGGCAACTAAACCCATACAACCATATATATGTACATCCATATAAATAATCAATGCCATCTCATCTTAGAGGAGTACGTATTAACAGTAATAAGTGTGGTATAATAATAACTACACTGTATAATCATAGATATTGATGGGGATGGTATAACCGTGATAATGATAAAATCATGGTCCCACAGTGAATAAGCACACTTAATTCGAATTACCTATTGGAAATTAGTTCAACTTCTTCACAGATAAGCATATATATATATATATATATATATATATATATATATATATATATATATATATATATATATATATATATATATGTGCACACATACAAAACTAGGAGTGACTAGACAATTTTTTATATAAACACCCTCTGTGAAAAGTCAATGTTCCCAATACTTCTCTGACTAATAAAACGAAGATGAACATTAAAACCTTGCAAACACACAAATGTACTTACTAAACCTACAAGTTGCTATACACCCAAAAATTCTAGTTATTTAGAAATAAACAGATAATCACTGAGCATATGTATGCACACTACATGGAAGGATTAAGGTAATTCAATTGATATCTATAATAACACAGGCACGAATACATACATAAATAAATGAGGAAAAAATTCCCTTAATTGTCGAAAAGCATAAAATATACAAACTTGGAAAATAACTAGCTTTTTATTGCTAATTACAAAACGACAGAATAAACATGTGAACGAATATACGACTAGTGTTCTCTATGCATATTACGATAACAGTAAAGTTGTTCCTTTCATTCTTTCCTTTTATCAGTAAAAAAAGACAAATGTTTGTAGAAATTTTTCTAATTGGAAAAACTGGAGATTTTAATCAAGCCGATCGATAAGTTATTGAAAAAGAATTAGATGTACGTTTAATATTAGATGCTTTCGAGATGATTAATTTCAAAATATGGTATACTAAATGTAGGAAACGATAGAGATTGAACAATTACCATCAAGCTGAGTACAAGGTGTTTAATATAATGGAAAAACAAATCAGTTTATCTCATGCTCAACCGTAGCTGTTACCTGGATGTAGTAACGGTTGGGATTGGATATCATAATGATCCAATCGCAAAATATCAGCTGGAACACTTGTTTTTTTAGGCACTACTAACCATCCTTGGTAATTCGGTTGAGGAATGATTGGATTTGAAAAGGTTGGTCCTAAAAACATAATACCTCACCTTGCCTCATGGATTTCCATTGCCGGTGACAATGCCCTTTCAGTTTGGAGCTAACACATCGAGAAAAGATTAAATGTGACCAGCCACAAGCAGTTGTGCATTGAGCTCTGCGGTCGCACTGTTAATCTGACAAGAATACTACTAATTAAGTTTATTTTTCAGGTATCGAAAGAAGAATCCTTACATGGTATGGGCAAACAGTAAGCAACAACTACCCACACGCATCTAGAATTACTTGTTTACTGTTTAATTTCTCAGTCACTTCTAATATTTCTGTTCTCTCCACTGAATAATTGAGTCTTCGTAAATGTGCTACCCGGATTTAGTCATCACTACCCATTAATATATTTAGGAAATTCAATATATGCCATAGTAAGATATATCGTTAATCTTTTGTTCTTGAGTTTAAGTCTAAGTAGGATGAACAATAGTAGACAGTAAGTGCATTTGGTAGAAGGATCCTGATGAAAACTTGAAAAAATCGTTTTCTCACGAGGTGTTTCTGATACACCCGGCAAGATGAACTGAGCACATATCGTCTCATGTTCACATAATAAATGAGAAACCAGTGTAACCGGCCTAAAGAAGTGAATTTTTCTCCCAGGCAAGATCACTACTCACATGTACCTGTCTGGGTCAGATATAACATCTGCAAACATGAACTGTAAACATTAATTATTGGACTTAAGTAATAAAGTTTCCCATGTAGTATTAACTTTCTTTTCTATGTAACGATCCATTGATGTTAGAAGTACGCATTGGTGGTTAAATTGAACAGCAAAACGCAATAGACAGATTATCATATTATAATCTGAAATATTCACAATTATTCAGTTGTTTTCGAAAGTTCCTCTAAAAAATAAGCCTTAACATCAGAAACACCTGAAATTCCCAAAAGTATTGAAATCCCTAATGATTAACTCTGACGATGGTATCCAATCCTTAGTGAGATCTTATTAATGATTAGTTCGACTAATAAACATTATTTGATTGGCAATATAGCTCTCTTAGACCATAACGCATTTTTCTAGGGTCATTCGAATAGTATACCACTAAGTAATATTCTAAATACTAGTAATAACATTAGTAATGATTTGTAAATTGTATTCACCACAAATAAATCTCAGTTGGAACATTAGCGAAAAATAGAGAGCACTGAACAGTTATTTCATCATAGTATGGGACTATTCTTCAGCTAAACCAGAGAGGCAACCCAGGACCACAAGAACCACCGAGTTAACATTAATAATGACAGAAATGAAATTAATAGTGCAGTGTTTTACTAATCAGAACATTGATGATACATTAGATATGACAGATTTAATCAAACGCTAGTCTTAAAGAATGGTGATACTTTGAAACCATTTGAAGAAAACAAGTGAAATTAGGTTCCAGTAAAAAGGTGTCAGCTTATAATATGCAAAATTCGACTAAAAAAGTGGGTTGACATTTTTACTAACTTTTCGACGAGAACGCTTTGAAAGCTTTTCTAGCTCACATGTTGCTCTCTGAAGTTCACTTTTTGCTCGACGCCACTCTTTCCCATTTTCTCGATCCAACTGAGCCACTGAACGTTTCCATTCTTCAAGACGATCGACAAGCGGGGCAGTTAAGCACTCGGTGAGTTGACTAGATTAAAAACAAAATGAAACGATCCCGTGAAAATAAGTCAGATGAATTTGCTTCAAGTAGCAAATAAGGAAAAATAGGCTTGGAACCCTACTATGGCTTCTACCAGTCACAAGCCCCGATAAAGGAGGATTGGGAATGTCATTAAAAACTTGATCCCGAAAAAAAACATACTAAAAACGTTGCCCGGGAAAATTTACTGAAACTATTCAGACTCTGCCGTGTAGTTTAAAGGGTCTTTGCAGAAGATTTATGACGTCTCATGGTTAGATTCTTCGGGAGCCAAGAGCCCGACGCCCCATTTGACAACCAGAGCAAAAAGTATTGAGTATCCGGACAATGTATGAAAAGTCCAGGATAGAGTTGGTTGGAGATTTCTAGTCGATATCAAATGCCCCATACGAGGTAACAGGTTTAAATAAGCAAAAAAGGAACCTAAAGATTGCATGTAGATGATTCAACAGCTTTTATATAATAACTACAATATTCCAATAAGTAACTGTGGGTAAATTGTTGTATTGTGGCGTGAAACGCGACTGAGTCAACGCATTGTGTGGAAAATTCTTTGATCGCAGATCGGAGTAAACGCGAATATGTGCGGCACCATCAGACTCATTTGTGTCCCGAATACGTGGTATTGACATGTGCTGGAATGCATAAAATCTAGACTTGGAAATTCCCGCTGGCTGTTCCCAACTAACTAACATGACATAAAATCCACCACAGTTTGAACTTAATGTAATGGCCAGTCTGTGAATACTACCCCTTTCTTGTGGCCGTAAAGTGAAATGACCTGTTCGACGTTAGACCAATTTGACAAACTAGGTTTTGCATATCACCTGGAACACATCAATGTTTGAAATACTAACACTTTTCCAACTGACTAGGACTAAGTATTAGATTTGAGTCATTTTGAACAAACTAGATTTTTAATTGGAAAGCTTGTAAAATAAAATCCCTAGAAATTACAGAATATATTTAATTTCCTCTTATATTTTAGCATCACGTATTTGAGTAAGCATACAGTTTGATTCATTTCACGGTTTACAAATGAATTTCTTGAACAATAAAGCTTATATGAAAGGTTAGAAGCAACCATGAAGTGACATAAAATACATCCAAGTGGACTTTCAGTAGATAACTCCACAGACAAATGAACAAAACAAAAGACTTGAACTTAAAGTCAATAGCAAAGTTACCTGTTAAAAGTGCGTAATCTAGATTCCAGTCCCCGTTCGCGCAAACAGAATCGAGTCATTGAAGAACCCAAATCCTTCAAACCACAGTTGCTGCCATATGCACAATCAGCAATTTTTTGAAATGCTTCTAGAAACCCACCGATGCACTGAATCACAGTTCTTCATAAAAGACAAAAATACGCTATAATTATTTGATCGGAGTAACTGTTTCCTCATATAAGTTGGAATATTTTAATCAACAATAATAATTACACAATGCTCCGAATGATTAACCAGATGAATCATTATGACCTAATTAGTAAGAGGGTCGTTTGTTTTTCAGAACCAAACCCAAAACAGAGAGCACGAATATTCTCACCACTTGACCAAATCTAGAATAATCAGTCATTTAGTGATTTATAGCTTTATGACTTTCTAAACACTGGTTGATTTGAATAATAAGACTCCGAAATATCGATTTGTGTACGAATGGTTTAGAGAAAAATACAATAAAGCTTCTCTATAATGAGGTTTTAAGAACAACAAGTGAACTACACTGGTAAGTAACCCAACTGCTATAACCAACATTTGTAGCGAAATGTTGGGGCAGTAATGAATAAACCCTTCTAAGCTAGACTTTTGATTGTTATAAAGTTGTATCAGTCAACAAGAACCTATTTCATAGCTAGAAACGAGAAAGCAAGTGACAAAAGTAGGCTACAAATCGTTTGATTGCGAACAATGCATTCAGCCTACGCCGAATACATTGGCGTATTGTTAAGGTCATAAACAGAAAGGGATTTACTCCAACATCTGCATTCATTTTGGTTGACATATTGGAAACTTTAAAGACCAGAGCATTCTGAGTTGTTTTTTTTAGCATAAAATGCATTTCACGTAAATTTAAATTTAGATGTTAACAACTTACTTTAGTGAAGCACTCAACTTTGAAGTTTTGTTTATCATATCCTCCCATAATCCTATGGAATTCTATAATGAAAGTAATATTGTGTTTTTTTGTATCACCTTCAAACCCGCGAGCTGAGAATTGAAATTAAGAGAACACGGAGGAAATTTACAGAGATGATCCTGCCTCATTCTTTCCTACAAAATATAAGCAGCAATTAAATATGTTATTGACATTGTTTAGTTTACTCTTATTTCTGTCTAAATTCGGACGGGTACTCAAGATAATAAAAAAACTAACCATGGCCACAACCAAAAGACCGCATTAAGTCAGCTTCAAAACCAGCGCTTTAATGAGTTAAATTATATTAGCACATTGCGTAACGATTTCGTCAGAAAATGGAAAAATGTTCGGGAGCTGTAAACGGAATAAAAGTTTGTCACTAAAATTAGCTACCTCTTTCAGAACAAATATGACGACTGAATAAGGTTCATCTTGAAATATATATATACTACTAGCTGTTCAAATGGTTCAAATGGTTCAAATGGTTGTGGACGGAATAGAAGAAGCTTTCGCTTAACAGGCTTCCGTGTCTAGTAGCAGGGGATCACCAAATCCTCCAGGCAGGAACCTAGGTATGTTAACAATAAAAAGGAAAAGAAATTGGTAAATCATAATGTGATGCTGTCCTTGGTCCTTAAGAATAGGTCAAGTTGCCTCTTGAAGGACTCCTGAGAAGTCGCTTGGACTAGCTCGGCCGGCAGCGAATTCCAGCTTTTGACAACTCTTAAGGAGTAGAAGTTGTGTCTACATTCCGTCTTGCTATGTTGTGTTTCCAGTTTCTGGGTGTTACCCCTTAGGTTATTATTCGAACTAAGCTTAAGTAGGTGTTTAAGAGGATGTCCAGAAGTGTTAAGAATACTATAAGCCATTAATAAATCACCTCTAAGACGCCTATATTCTAGTGGGTAAAGGTCTAGTGAACGGAGGCGTTCTTCGTAAGGCTTAGATTTGAGTCCTCGAACTGATTTCGTGGCTCGCCGTTGGATACGCTCCAAAGTGACCTTGTCCTTTTGGAGTGAGGGGGGAGTACTATGTTTCCGTACTCTAAATGGGGACGGATGAAACTATTGAAGATTGTGTGGAAAGTTCGTCCGTCAAACTGTCCAAAAATGCGCTCAACGTTACCAGTGCAAGGTTTGCTCGGAAGGCATTTTTGTCACAGTTAGCGTAAGACTTTAAATCATGGGGCACCAGGACTCCTAAATCTTTTTCGACTTGGGATACTACTAGAGAGGAGTTTCCTAAGTTGTAACTGTAGTTTGCGACATGTCGCAGATGGACTACTTTACACTTTGAAGTGTTAAAGGTAAGTCCGTTATCGTCTGCCCAACTTTGAAGTCGAGTCAGATCCTCCTGAAGTGCCTGTATATCGTCTTGGTTGCGTATCTCTCTCCAAAGTTTCACGTCGTCGGCAAAAAGTAATAAGTCTGACGTTACCTGTTGAGGAAGATCATTTATGTAGATCAAGAAGAGAAGAGGCCCTAGTACTGAGCCCTGGGGGACCCCACTAGGACATTCCATAGCCTGAGATAAAGTGAAATTAACCCTAACCTTAAAGTGTCGATTTTTTAGGTATGAAGTAAGCCAATCGATTAGAGGTGGTTTGATACCTAGTCGTTTGAGCTTGTTGATAAGACACAAGTGGTTAACCTTATCAAAAGCTTTTGAGAAATCAAGGTAAATGACATCAACCTTTCCCTTGCGATCGAGGATGCTTGTCCATCTGTCCACCGCAGTCAGCAGGTTGGTTATACAAGAGTAACCCTTCCTGAAACCATGCTGTTGGGGTGAGAAGAAATTTAAGGACAGTAGATAGTCATTTAAACCGTCGCATATCAGGGACTCCATGAGTTTTGAAGGTAATGACAGAAGAGCCACCGGCCGATAACTTGAAGGTTCATTGCGTCGACCACCTTTGAAAATTGGTGTGATGTGAGCCAACTTCCAATTTTCCGGTAATTTGCCTCGGCTAAGCGAGTGTGAAAACATCACGCTAAGCGGCGTTGCCAGGATTGAGGCTGCCTCCCTCAGTATGGCAGGATGAACCATATCCGGGCCAGGAGAAGTGTCAAGTCTTAAGTGCTGCAATTTCCGGAACACCAAGTCAGCGCTTAGGTCCACTTCAGAAAGTCCTGTGGAATTGCAGATGAAACTGTCGTCAGTAAAGTTGATGTCAGCCGGTTGAAATGTTTGAGAGTAATGTGCCGCCAGAAGGTTAGCGGCGTCGCCATCGTTGTTGGTCGGGCCGTTAAGACCTAGCAGTTGAGAAACTCCTGTTTTGGCTTGACGAAGAGAGGCTGCATAACGGAATAGGCTTCTAGGGTTAGAGGCGAATTTGTCCATAAGCTTTGTTTGGTACTGAAGCCTGTCTTCTCTTATAGCCTTCGTGCATATGTTCCTGATATGTTTATATTGCCTATACGCTCCATCGTTATTAGTTCGTTTGTATTCCGCCCAACAGTGCCTTTTGCGGCTTAGCAGGCGAAGGGTACGGTTCTTGATTACTGTAGGTGGCTTGCAGCTTTTGGGAACCGTTTGAGGAACTGAATGGTTTGTAGCACATAAGAGCGTGTGCAGTAAGAAGTCCCAATGACCATCCACATCGAGTTGAGGGTGAACATCCCAAACCACCTGTTGTAGATAGTCATGTAGAGCTGGCACATTCAGCCGTTTAAAATTCCAACGCAAATTATTGTTGGGATACCTTAGCTTAGTTTTGATGACAAAACTGAAGGCTATGACGGCATGATCGCTCTTTCCCAGAGGAGCCAGGATTGAGAGGTTGTCGACTAGGAATTCTTCGTTAGTGAATACACAGTCTAAGCGCGATGGTGTCTGACTGTTTCTCCAACGAGTTGCCGACCTCACATTTTCATATAAGCCCAAGTCATCGATGAGGTTGAAGAACCGAGCTTCAATTGAGTTGTCGCCTCCAGTGTACGTGTGTTCCGCGAAGTTGACTCTAGGGAGATTAAAGTCCCCTAGAATCAGGATGTGTGTGAAACCGAGACGGATAGAGCGGGATAGTCCTTCCAGCATACGACTATCGTACTCGATGTCGGCAGTTGGCTTCCTGTAAATGACTCCGACTAGACACCTCGAAGTACTAGACAATCTTACAGAGCACCATATGGATTCCTCAAGATTGTTAAACTCGAGGTTGTGAACTTGGTGCACCTCCAAGCAAGAGCTTATGTATATGGCTACTCCGCCCCCAATTCCTGTTTTTCTGTCGTTGCGGAACAAAGTCATCCCAGGTAATGCTAACTCTTGGTCCGAGAACTGAGAAGATATCCAGGTTTCAGATATTCCTATCAGATGGGCCTTATTAGCGTTGCTAAGTTCACGTAGTTCATCCAGTTTGTTTGGTAGACTCGCGGCGTTCATATATAAGCAGTTTATGCTTTCAATTTGGAACGCGTGAGCTTCGTCCTGTTTTTCTGTATGAACCTTATGTGAATGGACAGGTAGCCCACCTATATGAGGTTTGCCGAGGTGGTACGCCCTGTCCTTAAAGATGTTGTCATATTCTGAATACTTGTGCTGTCTTAATTCGTGAGATAAATGTAAGCCGGTACACCAAACAATAAACTGTGAATCTGTTCCTTGTAGGAATATCAAATATCTATTTTTATCCTTTTTTACAAATGACGATATGATTTTTATGTCTCCGGCCATTTTCCCGCCCATTAGTACATCTTATTTTAATTATTTCGGACTGAAAATAGATTCAAAATCTCTCGCCTCCTACCTTTCTGTCTCGACAGTCCCGAAATCTGGTTCTGCTACACTGAGGCTGATGTCCACGAGCACGGTGTGACAGACCCACGTGCACAAATACAGGCAGTAGTCAAAGCAATAACGCGAAATTTTAACAGCTACGTCACACTTGGTATGCTCACAAATTATGTTTCTGAAACCTACGACACTTTAAAAAGGCTATTCTTAAACATGGAGACATAACGGATAGACAAGTTCTTCCACAACATCGAGTTGCAACGTGGTTCGGCAACAGATTGTTGCTATGTATTCGAGAGGTCATTGGACAACGAACTTTTGACGGGAATGAGTTAAGGCAACTCTCCTTGTCAAAGCTTCCCTAACAAGTGCAAGCAGTCCTTGTCTCATTTCAAAATAACGCTGTAGACAAACTGGTTACATTTGCCGTCAGGATTCTTAAGATCACCAGAACTACCGGCATCGAAGTTTATTCTGTCGAAGAAAATAGTCAAATGACGCAAAATGACTTTACAGACCTTTATCACTTGCCATCCTCATATTCGTCAATCGTAGTCTTACTCAGACTCCATGAAGAAGCCCATCGTGACAAAGATGCGTCTCTAGACTATTAGGGACGGATGATATCGATTGGTTTTGGTACAACAATAAGGATCGTAAGTTAACTAGAAATTGCAGAACAACCTGAAATTTCTCAATCTCTAAATAGTCCAACACTCAAAAGCTTCAGGAAACGTCAACGCCGGCACGCATTCACTGCAACCGTAACCAACGGACACGGCCGACTGTTGCACATCATTGATGAGGTGACGAAAGTTCGTCGTCCCGTTGACACTAGTGCAGAAGTAAGATTTTTTCTCGTGAATTCTAACGACTATCTGCATGGACCAGCTTTAAAATTACAATCAGCGAATGTAAAACAGATCTGCGCCTACGGTAAAATATATGATTATCTTGACGTGGGTTTACGCACACACCATCAATGTATTTTCGTTGTTGCTGATGTTTCTCTACTTGTCGTCAGTATAGACCTGTTGCAGCACAAGAATCTACTCATGAACTCAAGCAGACGGAAATACTCAACCACCTGTTTGTTGAATTTCATTCTCTGATTGTAGGTTATACACAGTCACTTTCTAAGTGCACAAAATAACGAGCAGTTTTGGGAAGCGAAAGCAGAAGAGATAGAAAAAACAGCAGCAGCGATAGACAACAGTAGACAACTGATAAAACTTAAAAATGAAACGCTATTAAAATTCCGATCGTTGGTGGAGCCATCTCAGGAAAAGAAAAAAACATTTTTCACTCTCAATCCAAGAGATTTAGCCGATGAGCAGAACACGTTATGAAACAACTCAACTGGCCTACAGCCACACTTCAGTGTCCGACTATTTCATGATGGGATGATGGAATAACCCCTAAGATTTCAACGGAAATTGGTCACACATTAGCAGTTGCACTGAGATCCTATATAGAACCTGGGCGCCAAATGTGATCCCGTGTGACTGGTCTCCGTCGCTGATAGTTTCAGTATATAAGAAGGGACAAACATCCTCTTGTGACAATCACAGAGAAATCAGATTAACTAATATAACGTCTAAAATGGTAGCCCTAATCACACTTCGACGTTCAACTAGGGCTTGTGAGGAGAAGACCTGATCTGGACGCTTTCCTTATTTTTATTTAACTTTGTCATAAGCATGCTTTTAGAAGCAAAACTTTC